CGGTACACGGCACGTAAGACGTAGTGTGGAGTTGCATCAGGTACGCTGTGGTGCTGTACTGCTCAGCCGTCTCCTTTGTGTTTCCCCCTGTCTGTGTTGTTTGTGTGTGCGTGGTGGCTGTCACTCCTGGCTCCCGGCTCAACCTCCACTCACCTGCTGCAATCACCTGTGCACCCTCCCCGACTACACACCTGCTTTTCATCAAGCCATTTACAACGGCATATCAACGGAGGCTCCACAACATTTCTCCGCCAGATCGTCAAGTATCAGCCGTATCTCGCGTCTCCCCTCCGGTACACACTACACAGCACCGTAAGAAGTAGTGTGGAGTTGCATTAGGTAACGCAAGATACGGCTGATACTTGCGTATTAGTTTCTGTTATGGATCAGTATCAACAGTCCTGCCAGTAACGTTACTATATTATCAACACTACTTTAGTTATAGCCTGATATATGATTGCTAACTTTACAATGTTGTGATGTGACTGACGTTAGCTAACATGCTAACGCCGGTCACTCACCAAGACAGCTGCTCTGTTCTCCCACTGGTTCTCCACACACCAAAGCTCCATTTCTCTCCGATGGCCGTTATTTTTTCAAATCCTTGGCTGCTCCTGGTCTCTTGGACGCCTAGCAGGCTCATAATTATAATCATATGCATTCATATATATTTTCAACCTCTTCTGTGTCAAAACTAGCATTGTGATCCATGTTTATTCATACGTTAGACCGGCCCCCTCGTTTCCCCCATGTTACGTCACACGCGGGAGGTCACGTGCGGAGGCTTTTTTATGCGGAAGTGAAAATGTCTTACTAAAACGACGCCAGACGTCACTGTAGTGTATATTTTTTTATATATATATATATATGTATATATATAGAATATTTGTATTCATAATTTTCCTACACATTTATTCACTGGTGTCTCTAACCTGCAAGTTGCTCTTTAAGTCTACTAACAGTGTTCTGAAATTGTTGAGCCTTTTTCCAAGATGAAGCTTTATATTTGTGACCCATTTTTATAGATGAACATCTTCATTAGAAACCAATTGGCTTGGATCTGAGAGCCACAGACAGGAAGTCAGAAAGATATGAGGGACAAATAAACATGTTGTTGGTTTAAAGTGGCCCTATTATGCTCTTTTCAGGTTCATATTTGTATGTAGTGCCTCTACTGTGACATGTCTCCATGCTTTAATGTTCAAAGAGCTCTTTATTTATCTCATACTTCCTGTGCTGCAGCACCTCTTTTCACCCTCTGTCTGAAACCAGAGCCCAGTCTGCTCTGATTGGCTAGCTGTCGGGCTCTGTTGTGATTGGTCAACCGCTGAGAGATGTCCCACCCCTTAACCTATCATGTACAATGTGTTGGAGCGCTAGCCAATAGAAGCGCAAGTGTTACATAGTGATGTCATTAAGTTAGGGAAGTAAACATAGGAGTTAAATGGAGGCATTTCAGGGCAGGCAGGGGGGGGAGAAACTCCCTTTGAGATTTTAGTCTTTGCAGACCATTTACATGCACAAAAACCTATATAACACTACAGGAAAGGGCAGGCAACAACAAGCATAATAGGGCCTCCTTAAGAAAATATATATATTTCTACCATCGCTTAAAGATAGCTAAATGACTATATATTACTTGGACAATTAAAAGCTTTTGTTAAAAAGTCCCCCGTTATTATCTTACTCTGAGATGAACACCAGGACGCCGTTGTCTCTGATGGAGTAGATGACGGCGTCCGCCACACAGCTCTGGTCGGACTGAGGGTCTCTCTCTTTGAAGTAGAGGCACTGGAACAGCTCTGTGGAGATCTTCTGGGCCTGCTGGGCTGCCTGGGGGAAGGTCACACAGAGGTCAGAAGGTCACACAGAGGTCATTCAGAAGAGCTTATTTGATAGAGTAAGAAGTGAACAACACAGCAGCACTGACCCTGTTCTTGTTGTTGATATGATGAGACGTTTCCTCCAGTTGTTTGTTGCTGGCTAACGCTTTACCCGGGTCCACCCCCCTGTCCATGGCGATGGCAGCGGAGAGAAGGCGGTGCACCACGATGTCGGCATAACGACGGATGGGTGAGGTGAAGTGTGTGTACCGGTCCAGAGCCAGACCTATGAAGAACATTAGCATTAGCACAGATTGCTACAGTTTAAGTGGAGATACTACTGGGAACAGGAGGATAAATAGGCTTTCTCTTGAAACAAAAAGTGATACATTGCATACATTTTCAGCACAGAAGTCTTACCATTGGATAAAACCAGGTTTCAAATTCATTCTGTTCACATATTGGAGTCAAAGGTTTGTGCAGAGGTAGTTTTGTATATCTTTGTAACACTATAGATCAGAAAAGAATGTCAATAGCTATAAAGAAAATGATGCCATGCTAAAAATGCATTACATTGTGAATGACACTAAATAAATATGGTAACGGTATTTTAGATTTTTATTTCATATTTAGTTCACCATGACATTTCCTCAAATGACTAAATACATTAAGAAAATAGTTTTCTTTTGGTCGATCAAATATGCAATTTCTGATGTTTTATATCCACTATACTGATGAAAGACTGAATTTTAATTAGCCAGTGCATGCAGGTTTAAAGATCCCTCACTTGCATTACATACCCACAAAGAAACATGTAAATACAGTTCCAATGAATAACACAATGAATGCTGGGGATATGGTCAAGGTGTTACCGTAATGGTAGAACTGGTCTAGGGCCTGAAGACCAGTGGAGAAGTACACAGCCTGGGACATGGCTGTAGTGGCCATTATTCTCAGCAGCCTGTTCACCATGGGGTCCTGGGGGTCCACGGCCTGGTCCAGAGAGTCCGCCAGAGCCTTGTTAGTACTGGAGGAACAGAACTACCAGTATTAATATGATATACAACTAATAATCAGACAACAGCTATAGAATTGTTGTGTTTAGCTTTAAATCCAAAACCTCATGCATGTGAAAGGAGTCAAAACTGCTTCCTATTATAAATCCGGTCACCTGGTATCGATGGTGAAGCCCCTGGCCGTGGCGCTCTCCACCAGCTGGCTGAAGAACTCCTGCCGGGGGGGCGGGTGGCGCCTCAGCAGGGCCTGGTGGGGAAAGGTCTCCTGGATCTTGCGCGCCACCCAGTGGTTGGCGTGTATCATGCACTCAGCCACCGTCTCGTGGACCTCCAGAGGCTGACGGGGGACCAGCGCTGTGATGTTCTTGTCCTTATCCAGCTGGGCACGCACCTGAGGAGGGAGGGGGACAGTTTGATGAAGTGAAAGGATTTGTAAATACAGACACTTTTATGTTGTATGGAAAGGTGGGAGCTGTTGGGTATGGGCAATGGAAAGTTGCTAGAAAGTACGTTTTTTTTCTTTTTTTAATAACAATTTCACCTTTAAAACTAATTCTTTTAACAAGAGCTCTGAGTGGAGATATTGAATGATAAGGCGGGCAATATATATCGTATATAATTATATATATTTCCTTTTCCTTATGTCAATCCCACTAAAGTACTCTCAAGTTTCAAAAAGGACCCAAGAAAATTAACTACATAATCAATATCCCCTATTCTTTCAATCAAAACTATGGTTTCAAGCTGTTTTAGGAAGTTTAAAAAGGAGGAACTAAGCAGCAACATCTGGGTCTAAAAAGGGAAGCTAATGCAGACATACCTTAACCTGTTTTCTATTAAATATTCAGGAGGATTTCAATCTAATATCCTCTGGTTTCATAAAGAAGTCTGATTGTATGTAAGTCTAGTCTTCTCACTTGATTCATTACCCCAGTAAAAATGTTCCTGATGAGATGATGGTATCAATGGCTAGTTTCAACATTTCATCAATACTGTACTGTCAGTGTAAGTCATTTATCTTGGTTGACAGAGTCATTATAAAATACATTTTGACCCAGCATTCTCTGTAGCCAGAAAGCAGTTTCACAACTGCACCAGGTAGGTATAGAGAAACTCTAATTCCAGGAGGTTGAATAAACAATGATTATTATGAACAACCTAAAGTATTTGCTAAAAAGAAACGGCAAGTCATTCCATGATGTCATCTACTGTAACAAACTCAATCAGTCACACATATCTACATAAGGTATAAGACAGGTTATTGGAGAGGATCTTACAGATAAACAACAAAGAGAGTTTATATCTTGTTTTGATGAATGAAACACACTACTTGAATGTGAAAACAGATTCACATTGGAGGGCTCTGTATTCACACAGCCTTTAAAACAGTATTCCAACTGAAATTGCTTTCTGGTCATGTGTGAGATTAACACCTGTCTGCTGGCCTGGATGTTAAAATAACTCCTTGGGACAATGTGTCATCAAACCATAGGCTGAACAAATGTCTGGGTGGTTTTTATATTGGGTTTCAGTTTAAAGCATGTTTAACTGTTCTTGTTTTGGGTTCAGGAACCTTCTAAAGTGTGTTTTTTGCTGCAGTTTCTTAAGAAAATGAATGTTCTCGAGCAGGATTAAGGAAAAACACTTGGCCCAAATTCAATGAAACTTGGTGGAAAGGTGAATCGGGTCAAGGAACGACTCATTACATTTTCAAACGGATCGGAATCCCACGTGATATTCACTTTTGGATGTTGCTTACTGTAGGGTGAAGTCGGCCCTTTATGAGTACGTGGTATATTTGGCTTGTATCCCATTAAGGATGGACAATTTTAGAAGACAACATCAATTTATTTATTAATTTCCTAGAAACTGTCATAGAGAGGCGAAGTCCCGCCCATCTACTTCCGACCCATGGGACCTTATTTCGAAAAAATTATGTATTGAAGTCAATGGAGAGAGAAAGATTATCTTTCAATCCCGTTTGAATTGTGCCACAAATTACACATATGATGTTTGTCAATCTTAAAAAATCATTTCCATGTCAAAAAAGTCACAGTTTGTAGTAAAACTGCTGAAATATAAGACTATGAAAAATACGAAACTAGAAGGACTACAAATCCCAGAGTCGCGTAACTGATGTCACAATTGTTTTCCTCCACAGTAGTAATATTCATCCCGTCTTTCGTCTCATTAGTATGACATAAAAAGTGATTGTGTATGTACAGCTCTCAACATGCCCAGACTTGTAGTGATTTTCACCTCTTTTAATACTTTTCGCCTCATTCTGAAAGAAATAAGTGAAACGTGCTAACGTCACGGCCGTCTTGGTGTGTGGTGCGAGACGGGAGATGTAGTTCATTGAGCGTTTCACACAAAAAAAGTGTTACTTCACAGTTTTACGACACATTTTTATTTTTTTGACTTGCAAAATTATCTTTTAAATTGAATTCGTGGCACAATTCAAAGGGGATCGATAGATAATCTTTCTCTCCCCATTGACTTCAATACATACTTTTTCCGAAATAAGGTCGCATGGAGGTCCCCCGGAAAGGTACGGACCACAGTGACGCGTCCTAAAACCCGGAAGTAAGCTGCGCATGGGTTCCTTCGACAAAAAAGCAAATATATTTCTCCATAGCATTTTGGAAAATAGCTCGTGGTCATAAATCTATCGATCATAAATCTATCGATTTGATTTATGAGTATAAAATTATAAAAGTAGGGTAGACATTTGGAGATTATCCGACTGAACAAAACGTGATCCGTCTCTTAAATGTGTTTCAACCAAAGACCTTATTTCCGGCTATTTTCCAAAATCCTATGGAGAAATGGCATTGCTTTTTTGTTGAAGGAACCCATGCGCAGCTTTCTTCTGGGTTTTAGGACGCGTCACTGTGGCACTCTATTGGGTTAATATTAATGGATCCTGTGAGATCTGAGAGGCTAATGACTGAAAATATTAACAATTACAAATCCTCAACAAAACTTTCATTTGGAAAAAAACTAAAAACATTTGGATACGATGACTTCAGGCGACCATTAATGGATCGGCCCTCAACATGTCCATTTTGAGTTTTCCTCAAAAGCCGTATTCTTGCCATGAAACACGATCTTGCTCTAACTCCTGTATAAATGGTCAAAAAGTGCTCAAATGTCATGTGTGTGTTGCTGACAGTCCAGCCCTGAAGACATCTAGTGTACGTGTCAGTTTCATCATATGTGTTGCCATGGAAACAAAATGCTCGCCATAAGACACGATTTGCTCATAACTCCAGTGAACATGCCCCAAACGGCCTAAAACTTCACATGTTTGATAATGATGCAGACCTCAAGACACTTACGCCAACTGTGAGGTGTCATCATATGCCGTTGCCGTAGCGACACATCACTTGCCATGAAACACGCTGTTGCTGTAGCTCCTATGGAAATTGTCCGATCGGTCCAAAACTTCCCACTTTTGCTAACGGTCCGCTCCTCAAGACACCTATGTGACACGTCGACGTGCGGACAACAGCAAACCTGCCTGGATCCTCGAAGAGCCGCTCATTGCTGCTGGCGGCTTTAATTGTTATTATTTGTTTCCCTCTAAGGTAAAAAAACCATTTGGAAAACATGGCTATGATAATGTTTTTTTTTTGTTTTTTTTAAACTTAAACTGCCTTTAAAGAAATTAGTCTGTAGTTTGAGCAAAGTACATGTATAGATAGACCAATACAATTAATTAAAAGTAAAAAAGGACCACAAAGATAAGGAGTTAACCGATCCTACCTCCACCCCTTCCAGCTCCAGCGCCCCCCCCCGGTCCCTCTGCGCCCGCAGGTGTCTGGCTACGTGTGTCAGCATCTCCAGAGCCTGGGTGAGCTGGGCTAGTTTAGAATCCTTCTCTTCAGACCCGACCCCGGCCAGCTCCGGCACCTCCGCCTGCTCCCCGTCCAGCAGCGCCTGGGCCAGCTCGTAGTGCAGCTGGTAGGAGGAGCGGATGAGCGAGCGGCCGAACCACACCTTGTTGACCACGAGGGTCTCTGCATCCAGCTCCCACATCACGCTCATCGCATATCTGGTTATAATACATAGCATGTTTTAATGTGTTCTAATTGACTTTCTTCAACATGATGTAGAGATGTGGCGTTCACTGACCTGTCCACTCCGCCCAGAAGAGAGCAGAGGTCTGCACTGAGAACGCCAGGCAGCATGTCGTACCTGCGGTCGGCCAGGTAGTACGTGGTTGCCCTGAGAAGGAGGAGGAGGAGGAAGAAGAGGAAGGAAAAAGATAAAGTAAAGGGGAAAAGTATTTGGATCTTTTTTCTATGAAAGGCCTGCGAGGAAAGTGATGAAAATAAATCTGGTGATCCTGTTTTCTACTCTGATCTTAACTTTTTTCTCTCCTGTGTTTATGATTTCAAAACTAACCTTCTATACTCATTTTGCAAAAACAAAGGCTTAATTGCACCACGACCACATGCCCTAAATAGCATAAATAAAAAGACTAAAAGCATTTATGTTTCCTTCTAGGTGAGCTTAATTTGTCTATAGATTGTGTAAGTTATGCAACACTAATGCAATGTCTTTATTTTGGTTAGAAAACATAAATGCTTTTAGTCCTTTTTACAAAATGGGGTAGCAGCACTTCAGCCAAAAATAAGTATTCAGTAAAAAAACTATTGAGAAATTAACATCATAAAAAAAAGAAACTCACCTACCTTTTAAGGAACTCAGAAACAGTAACCTTAGTACAATTACATTATTTTATTTCTTGAGTCATAAACACAGAAGAGAAAACGTTTGGATTCACCACTTCTCCTCAGGGCATGTTTCCAAGCAGCAGATACCATTTTAAAAACACATTTTCTCATATATGAACTTAAATATTTATTTTTGGTACTCTTTTCACCTCCTCTGTATACATTGTATTTATATCTTTATTTTTCAACATGAGACCTCATATAGTTTATTAGTATTTATTGATAGCGTTGTGAAATAAATGAGTAAAAGTGTTCTTATTTCATTAATTAATTTACATACATACAATATTAAATTGTAACTGAAGCTAAAAAATCATTCTTAAATCAATAAAACCATTTCTTATTTAATATTTTGTGTCAGATTATCGATTTCTCTTGTAAGTAGTCGGGTCATTGGTGTCGCGGTCCTGCTCACCCTGTAGAAATACTGTCCTTATGTATTCATTCCAAGGGATGGAGAACCAAAGACACTTTACCCCATAGCACTGATACGTACAGAAACATAGCCCTGAAGAGTGCAAAAAAACTAAAAACAACAATTGTTTTTTTTCTAAATGTTGGTCTGTTTGAACTATTAAAAAGGCCCTTTTCCCTTTGCTCTGAGAAACTCCTGACTCAGCAGCACCATTTCTCACTGTCAGAAACACTGTTGTGCCTCCAAGTCACTGTTGTCTGTCATTTCTGCTTCTTTTCTTTGTTTGTGGTTGTGACACTTGCAAAATTACAGAAACTATAAAAGAGAGCGCCGGATGCAACAAACAATCATGCAGCAACTTTCTGTCCTCTTTGCACTTCTGAAAGTAGCCAGCGAAAATATCCGGGTGAGGCTCAGTGAGATAATATTTGACAAACTTTCATAATTGCTTTGTAGTCCACAGAGGACGTAATTATGTTTATAACAGCAATTCTATACACGTGTGATAACGCAAAACACAGGAGCTAACAGGTGGCTGGATGTTTATAGGAGATGCTAATTCATTTGGACACAGAATCCAATAACATAAAACGTACTAAGAAAAAAGGAGTTTTGATGATACCGGGCTAACCTGAACTATCCTATCCTCTAACTCCTCACCTTGAACGTGCCTCCAGGTCGGTGAGCGAGCCCTCTGTCACAAAGTGTGTGACATCAGCGATGTGGACCCCCAGCTCCAGCAGCTTCCCGCCGGCCAGGCTGCGTACAGACAGCGTGTCGTCCACGTCCTCGCAGCCCTTCGGGTCGATGCTGAACACCAGGTGACTCTCCCGGAGGTCCCGCCGCTCCGCCACCTGAGCCGGGTCCATCCTCCACGGCTTCTCTGCAGAGTTCACGGGCATCTCTTTCAGCTGAGGGCACACAGACACAGTCACAGGTAGAAAGCAGAGTTACAGCTTCACGGTGTTTGTGTGAGAGAGTGAGAAGCTTCCGTCTGACCTGTGCGTCTGAGAATGGAGGCACTTGGATGCAGTTCTCGATGAGGATGGTCTGGATCTCTGTCTCCAGCTCCCCAGCTTTACCCAGCACCCGCACACTGTGGCCGTTGGGGTAGAGCGACGTGCTCTCCCAGGAGTCAATGCGCACCACCACTCTGTGGTCCTGGGTGGGTGAATACAGGGGAAAACAGCCTTCTGGGACAATTCAAATGGTATACCTTCCCTCATGGAGCCCTTTGTTAAGCTGATTTTAAACCCTTCTTTTAGCTTCGGATCTACAGAGTCTGGCCTCCTCTAGCGACAATAAAAGGCTTTAACTTAACTTTAAATAAAAATACATAAAGAGCCTTGCCTTTATATAAACGCACAACTTTTACAAAACATTGGGCTGAAGGATCTCTTTACCCTTTTTTATCTCATGTTTATGCTTCAAGAAAAATCATCCTCTTCATGTTACATCCAGAAAGTCTACACAAATACTGAAATACATAAAATATCTAGTTTTAAAAATAAAATAATGTAAAACGATGTCATATTAGAGACATTAGTTGTCCAATCCTGCGAGTTCAAACTAAAGTTCAGACCAAATACATTGTGGAGTGTGTAAAGCAGACCTGCAGAGCATCGGCCTGCTGGGTGCTGATGCGGATCTTGGGGATGCGGTGGTCCCAGGGCACCGCCAGGATGCGCTGGGTGTTCCTGGTCTGGGGCGGAGGCCCCTCCCTGGGGGGGAAAGTCACCACATAGTCCCTCCAGTTCCTCTGCAGGATTCCCACAACACGGCCTGAGGATTTAACAAGAGACCACATTACATTACATGTCACTTGTTAGATCCTTTTATCCAAAGCGTAGAGTGACTACCTTGCCCAAAATATTCTTGTTATATGATCTTAAAAAAATACTATCAAATAAATGAGGAAACTGTTTTGTGACGGAGCGGATCACAGAGTGACTGACTCCGCCACTGACAGCCGGCGGCACACACACACACCAAACATTTCCTGCTCTCTTCCGTTCGTCAATAAATAAGGTTAAATCATCACTAAACGTCCCTTTTCCCCCTCCCTTTCTGTAGCGCGACCATGAGTGCACGCTTGTGAGTCTATTATTTAAACATACATTAAACTGTAGTACGCGATACTTGCGCGACGGGCAGCGAACGGAGTATCGTTGCCGTCTCCCCAGCAAAGGGGAATGTGGAAAAGAAGGAGGCGCATCTCTTCCGTGGTTTAAATATGATATCATGAACCATGCAATTTATTATTTATTTTGCGTCTATTAATGATGGGGGATGATTGTGTTATGAGATGGTTAACCTGTTTATGTTTTGGTCGTATAGTTTTTCTTACGTTTGAGGGGTTAAAATTATGTTGATAATGTGTTTTTTTAATTAATGGTGTAACCTGTTGACGGTAAGCCTGTGGGGAGGGGCTATGGGTTCATAAGGGACGGTGTTGGCCCTGGACTGGCATTCGGGAGATTGTTGCAGCGAAGGCAACAACTAGTAGGCCTATGTGTTTACTCCATAGATGAGTGATAGACAACCTCGTTTTGGTAACTTTGATTTTGTTTATTGAAGTTATACTGTTTCAATATTGTCAAACAGTATATATTTGTGTTGTTGTTATAAATAACATTTTTTGAGCTTAAATCGACCGACTAAGCCTATTTTTTTACAAACGGACAAATAGAACCCCGTCACAAAAACATATATGTAAAACATTCTCTCCTAATTTTATCGAAAAACACTCACAACAAGTAAAAACATAAATGTGTTGCAGAAGAGGGGATGAAAATAAAATAAAATAAAAGCATAAAAATGTGTAGGTGTAACAGTTTGAATAAAGTTAAAGTGTTATGCTCTTAAAAGGTAATATTTATATATGGCCACATGTTCAAATACATCAAGAACTGCTTAAGTTTCCTCTAACTTTTATTGAAATGAGATAAGGAGTTATCATCATTATCAAAACTCGCCTGTGGGCATGGGTTTACTTCCACCTTCCTCTCCGCTCTTCTTCTCCCCCTGACCCTCAGCCAGGGTGTTGTCCTTCCCTCTCCACTCGCTCTTTGGCAACAGCTCCACCACAACCTGGTCGCCATGCACCGCCCTGTTACGATTCTTCCCTCCACACACCAACACGCCCCAGCTCAGATCTGAGGGGGATGAGTGAGGGGAAAAGGTGAGATGCACAGAGAGCGGTGTCAGCGATAACGAGGGCAGAAAAATGCATTAACCAGACTTGTTTGTGTGCTTGTTGTTGATTTGCACCTGTGTTCTTGTTGGACAAACCGTCCGTCATGATTGAAGCTTCACTGTGTGCGCGGTGCTTGCTGACATTCAGAGTCCCCTGATGAAAAGGAAAAAGATGTGAGATTTATTCAGATTTCCAGAACAGACTGTTTAAATCGCCAGAACGCCGACACCTCCTCATCTCCACCGCTCCCATGTTTTATTTTGTTTTGCCATAATTTAGTCTCTCTGCGTTTCTGCGCTGGGCTAATGCTAATGCGAGGATAATAAAATGGTGGCTTCACAACACTTTTTTTGAGTTTTACGGGCCGTGGTTTGCATTCCGCCCAGCCAATCAGACATAGGAGCCTTTTTCTCCCACGAAAGTCCCTCTAGCAGGGACGGAAAAGGGGGTAAAAAGGTTCTCATGAAGTAATTTTAGTTCCGGCTCTTTTTGGTGTGAACGCGACATTTCGGAACTATATCGGAACTAAAGTGGGAAAAGTACTGCGGTGTGAACGCGGCTATTGAGTACTAGGACCTTCCTTGATGAGCTCAAGTGCTTGAGAACAGCTAACTTGCAAGTTTCTGAAACTATCCACCTTCCTTTTATTACCTCCTTGACCCTTAAACGTATGAAACCTTGCCACTGCGAATGCTATTTGTACAATTACCCAGTTAAAGCAAGTTTCCAGTCTCTTTTTAGTTTCCACAGTTACCTGTTATGCACAATTTTGCACATTTACTGGATATTTTGTGTTGAAGCATTTCAAGGTGGATTTTGTCTATTTGTTGCCCAATGTTATAACTTCTGTTCCAAGTAAACACTCACTAGACACAACCCAGCTAGGTGCTGTACCTGAATGTACCGCCCAGACTTGATCCCGGCCTCCAGCAGTTCTCCGGGCAGATGTTCTGTGTACTCCCTCTCCGTGCCCTCACTCTCTTTCTCTTGTAGCGCCTGGGAAATGGAGCTGTAAAGGTTGTGTGCTACCTGCAGCTCCGGACAGAAGTTTCTTAAATAATCCTTACACATGAAGAAACACGGGGGAAGACATGTCAGGAACAGGTAAAACTATAACGTTATAGGTCAGGATTTGACCTCATGTAAGGATGTAAAACACAAGATAATTCAGACACCGGGTGACATATTGACAATATGCAGTTCAGAAACACAGGAGCGTCCTGAAAACCCAATGTAAAAGGGTTACAGTTACCGTCATGTGGGAGCAACCTGTCAATCACAAGGGAGCCCCTCCCCTTTTATTTTGTACATAATCCTGTATTGAAGAAGACTTGATGCTAGTAACTGAGACCATTAACTCATCAGGAAAACGTTTACTGAGGTGATAAAGTAAGTGAGGCCATTTTCTCATAGACTTCTATGCAATTGGACTTCTTCTTGCAGCCAGTTGAGTCGCCCTGTTGGCCACTATAAAGAACGCGGATTGACTTCACTTTTTAGATTTGGAGGGTTGACACTTGGAACAAATGTAATTAAAACAGGAACTTTTATCTATTTCTATCTATAAGCTAGGCTACGCTATACAACTAAAGTAACTCCATAATAATGCGTTTTGTTTTACTACCAAGATGTCTTGATGAACAGGTGCTACTTAAATCACCTTATTAACACTATACACTTATTATCCTATAATGACTTGACAACTGTTAACAGGTAGACAGGACGCATCCATTTCTGCTCTCAGTATCAGAATCAGCTGTTTCCAGAATTTGCGTTGTGCTAGAACAGCCTTTCGCCCTCTACTGAGTCGAGCTGTAGCCACTTCATCGACAACTTTAAAATCAGCCATGAGAGTTTTCTTTTTGTGAGGTTTTTTTTATCACTATTTAAAGAGCATATTAGTTGTCAGGGAGCTCAATGGAGCGATATATAGATGGTGCATATATAGGGGGGCATGTCTATGCAAGACAATTAGACCCCATTTACACGGGAACGCAAACGCATACGAAACGCAAACGGACCGAATACGATATCAAAAAAGTCTTCCTTCACACGAGACCGCTCAAAAGCGCTGGAGACGCTGTAGTACATATGCTGGGCCTGTAAGTGGCGTTGTACTTCCGCCACAAAATACACCAAAAGCTGCGAAGAAGACCCCCGAGCATGTTGCCCTTCTGTTTATGCCCCGCGGTGGATTTAGCAACATGTAGTTCATGTAATTCTCCATGTCCACTTGTTGCTGATGGTTGTGGTAGAGGAGCTGTAGATTTTGCACTAACATCTGTAGCATGGTCAGTAACAGTAGGCTGGGCGACATTACATAATTTAATCATAGTTTGTCAACTTTTATAGGAATTGTATTGTGATTGTGGTATGACCAAATAATATTATGATTGAACATTAAAGAGAAAACTATTTCACCACAACGTCCATTTAGTTGCTGCCCTGGGAGCCTTAGGTCACATTAAATGATCTTTATCAGCAATTTGAGTTTTTCTAGAACAAATGTATACATTTCAAACAGAACACAATGTCTCCACACACAAGATTTCTACAATCCTCTGATAACTTGGCTCCATCTGCTGTGGAAAGTCATTTGATATGACACAAAGTTTTTGCTTCCTCATATCAATTTCTAAAACCGTTCAAAAAACCACATGTCTATTGGCGTTCCTGTGTTTATTATTGAGTGATTGGATGACTGGGTCAACACACAGCATGCAGCAGAGAGAGGTCTGTACTTAACAGCCATGCATTTCCTATTGTTTCGGCTCTGCACTGAAACATAATGGTTTGAGAAACAAGTGAACAGAGCAGGATTCCATGCCTCTTGTGAACAATGCAGCAGGACAGCGCTACAACTCCTACAGAAGTCCCAGCACAGAAGCAGTCACTGTACTGTTGTGGACGGGTCAGCAGCAAAATGTATTTTAGCAATCTAAAATGACAACAAAATGAAGGCATTATCTATGCTCTTACCCAAGCTACCAGACTCCATTGAAAAGAAAACAGTAATTTTACATTGCCTTGATCAATTAGTATGTTTTGGTGTCTCTGGCGAGAGCATAACTATTTCAGTTCTCTGTTGGAAAGGACAATCTAGCTTCTAAATAAAGTTTAGTCTGCATATTAACTGACAGTGACTCCCTGCTCCTCCATACTGAGCCGTGCCGCCTTATTCATAACTTTAAAGGTCCCCTATTATACTCTTTTTCAACATATTACAGGTTTCAAATATATAAAAAACATGACTGAAGTGTTTGGCTCGAAAAACCAAACAGATCATGCATTTTAGCATGCCATTAAGCCCTCTGTTTCAGTCCTGTTTCAAAAGTGCTGATTCTGTGTCTGTAGCTTTAAATGCTAATTACATGCTGATGGCCACATCCCTCTGCGAGATGATTGGTTTAAAATAACACACTGGCGCTCTAGGAGGAGATTCAGGTGATAAGGTGGGCGGCGGTTACCTTGTTGGTTATTGGCTAATGGTTACACAACCCAAAAAAACATTGTTCTGATCTGATCAGCTCATTTGCTGACAGGTTTTTATATAGATGGATCAGGACAAAAAGAGAGAGAATTTTTTTCCTGCAACTTTCCGAATCTCTTTACACACCGGGGACGCATATTTCCGATAAAAGGATTTTGCATAATAGGTAACCTTTAAGTATTACATTGATTATGAATAAATACATTATGCAAAGGCACTTTGAAAGGCCCGAAATATCCCCTTTAACATCCTCAAATCCAAACTACACTTCTGCGTTTCAACCTTGTAGCAGTGTCCTTTGATATCCACTATGTTCAAGCCACAACAACTAAATGTCTCACTGTCTAATAGATACTTATGGACAGTTAGTGAAGCGACAGATATAAGCATCATGTGGGGTGAACATTAGTGTGTAGTTCAAGTACCTGGACAGAGATGACGTAAACCCCAGAATGGAGGCTGCTGTACTGAGCCACGGCTTCCTGATCCTCAGTGATCATCACTATATCCATCATACCTGCCAGGTGGTTGTAGTACCAAACTGCTGCAGAGTACACACACCTACACACACAAACACAGAGTTAATTCACAAATACAGGATGCATGCAGACAGCTTGCCTGTTAAAGTACTAAACTCTGATATTATGTATTTAGTTCCTCTGGCTTATAAATGTTCACTACCTGTAACTGAAAACATCATGAAGAATGCAGACATCCTTTACAGTTTACTGTCTTGTTTATGTAATAATCTATTTTCATGACAACAGTTTGAACCGCCAGACTTCTGGCTTTTAAAGTAAAATACAAAGTTTGGGGACAACATGTACAACACCTGTGGAAGACACTATCGTGAAACAAAGCATAATGACTAAAGAAAATTCATGGTGGTAAGCAGTACTTCCAAGAGGTTTTTGCTTAAACAGAGAGCTTTGTTATTGCAGCCGATAACGTAGAACTACTTAAAATACATAATTGATTATAAGATCTAAAAATGTATAGTAATTGTTGTTAAAATAACTAACATGTGCTTGAAATATCTCCGTTCACATCTGAACCTTCTCTCAGTTCATTTATTTGGGATGTTGGCAACTGGTCAGACTTTTTGCATAAGAATAAACCAAAGCATCAGCTTGACCTAATTTTATCCACTAATATCTCTTGGTATGAGTCCATGATTAATACAACTGGAACGTTTTGTGTATAATTGCCACTGAAGTACAGATTTTTGATAACTAACTTTAAACTAAATAACTGTATACACCATGTACTTTACACATCGATAATTGTGTTTTGTATTGCAAGTTTCTGAAGATTTATCCTAAAATATTAATAGAAGCATCATCTAATGCTAGCTTTTGGTGAATTTAGGAGGAATCTAGAAACACAAATAGACACATTTGGTCAAATGGGCGGAGTGGCACAGTGGGCTGTGCGTGTGATCATCAGATTAAGGGGGCGTTGGGGAACTCCAGTTCGAAACCCGCTCCCGCTGTTGTGTCCTTGGGCAAGACACTTCACGCGAATTTTCTCCTGTGGGTATTGTCCACAGTACATGTATGATATTAAGGTGTACTTGTAAAGCGCCTTGATGACTTCGAGGCGTGAATATGGGCGATGTGGCGCAGTGGGCTGTGCATTGATCAAGGGGGCGAAACCCACCGCCGCTGCGTCTGTAAAGCCGTTGTGTCCTTGGGCAAGACATTTCACCTGAATTTGCTCCTGTGGGTATTATCCACAGTACATGACCATTACATATATGTGTAATGTGTATAATGTGTAAAGCGCTTTGAGTCATTGAAAAGCGCTTTAATAAATATAAGGAATTATTATTAAATAAACACCTAAGAGCATTTTTTGGACATGGTATGCAAGCGAAATAGCTCAAACTGAAAACAAAACTCAACAGTGCATGACAAAGGTTTGTGCCTGTAGCATCTCATTTTAAAGTTGAAAACACATTTAGCTGAGGTCTCATATGAAGTCTCAAGTGCTCAAATTCTTTGTTAGAATACCTGTTTATTACCTGCAGAGGAGGAAAACGTCTCTATAAATAGTGAAATTTCCCCCTAAGCCTTTAGCCCCTACAATGATAAGTAACTTGATTGACAGCTTGGCTGGTAGGTGGGCCCTGAGTGCCGTATGGCCCATTATAACCAGCCCTTAACACAAGTTGAACAACAGTAGAAGTGAATTCAGGGTTTATATATAATTACTAAACTGGATTTTTTTAAACTTTTATTTCCAATCTGGCAAAGCACCCAGAGGAACAAATACATGACAACAATTTTATAATGGAAAATGCCCACAGTTTTCCCGTTGTAAGTAGAGCAATACTGTGGTTCAACGATTTGCGTAAGATGCTTTGTAGCTTTTCCCAGAGTTAGTACTCAAGAGAAAAAATACTTTTTCTGAAAATGTTTGTATGAATGAAAGACAACAAGAAACACATTTTTTTATTGAGTTTGGCTTGGAGAACTTAGAGGTATAGGACCGTACGGTGAGTGTACGATTTGAAACGGTCGCACATCTTTTTAATTGGTCAATACCCTAGAGATGTCCCACCCCTTAGCCTTTCACGTACAATGTGTTGGAGAGCGAGGCAGTAGTAGCGATTTGCAGATCATTTACATGCACAAAATAACACACTACAGGAAAGGGAAAACCCTTATGGGACATAAAAAAAGTCACAAAAAAAAAATGTCATGTCCTTCCTGATGCCAATTCTAATAGCTAAAGCATATTGGCTGATGTTTGGTTTGTGCGAACATGACAGAGGCTGTGGTGGTGACTGACCTGGTCTGCCACTTCTCCTGGCTCTCCCCCTTCTCTCGTGGACAGTATGAATACTCCTGAAATTCATTGGCAAACGGCACGCAGTCGTGTCGAGGGTCTTTGAGCAGGTTCCGGAGACGGTTGTATTGCCTGAACAGAAACACACGGCAACGGAAAAAAAAAACTCATAAAGGTCCAAATCATAAAGATAACCACAAGAAAAAATACAGTAAACTTAGGGAACGGTAAACATCTGGGAAGTACACTGATTCACTTTCTTTTAAAGAGTTATTCGAGAAGATTGTCCATTAAATAAGAAGGTCAACATTTTTTAAAATACATTTTAACAAAATGCAATAAAAATGCAATCATCCTATCCCAGAGTTGAGCCTGACCCTTAAACTAGTGAGCATGCTGGCAGGTGGATTTTGTTACCTTTGCACTGAGCCAGGCATTTTTTTCCCCAAGTGATAAGGAGAACCAGCTGATGTTTCTTTAATATTGCGCACACACACACTGATACGTTATGAGCTATTTCAATTTCATGACTGATGTTTTGCCATTGCCTCGACCTGAGAATGAGAACAGTGTTCAAACTTCTTGACAAAGCCTCTCCATAATTCACACACACACACACACACACACACACACACACACACACACACACACACACACACACACACACACACACACACACACACACACACACACACACACACACACTGAGTGAAAAACTGCAATTACTGACACAGTATGGCATCAGAATATGATCTACCAGCTACCTAACATTATCCAAAGTGAAGCCTCATCACATGAATGACGCAACATGGTAAAATGGCGGCGTAAGCACTAATCGTGTTTGTGTGGGAGACGTATTTCAATTCACGGGACATTTAGCTTGGTCAGCACTCAGCACTCAGCTTTGATATATTATGAGCATCAACGTGACACACTCTTTACACACCTCTGCAGGTAGGTTGTCATTAGAGGTTTAATTCAAAAGCAGGTCGAAAGGTCTGGACTGCATGAGCTGTCCTGATTTGTTGGTAGAATATTAATCCTGATAAACTCTCCTCTGGTCTGCTTACTTAACTGATTCTTTCCAAGTCATAAACAAATATGCCTGTAGTCAAAACATATGTACACACTAAGACAGAGGCGGCACCTAAAGATAAAGACCAAGGTCAAAGCTGTTAGTCTCTGCCTGGTGTGACCTGGCGTGGCAGTGACATGAAAAGGACATTCTAATATCAAAATATGCTTAAAGTCTAATGTTTGAACATTTGCAAAACAGTAACTCAACGGAATGACATATTGTGCATGTACCTGCGTCCTTTGCTGTGCTGCACCCCCTGACAGGAGGTCTGAGTGAAGATGATGCCCTGCAGCTCTCTGAACTCCAGGATCTCCAGATAGTCCCCCGACACCCCCGCATCAGGAATCACATAGTGGGTCAGGTCTCCTGGTAGCACCTTGCCATCTGGTTGGGGGGTAAGCAGAGATGATAATAGCATAAATAACTTATTTTAATATAGGAATCTTTGTTCTTGTCTTGGGTTACTAATAATTAGTATCAAACTGAGAAAAATTCCCTAGTATACTGTACTTCAATATTATGACATCTTAGTCTATGTCTTATATCCCATACTACATCGTAATGCATGATCATATTTACTCGGCGTATATTATGTTATTATTTTTCATGAACTATTGCACTTTATTCTATTAGAGTGCAGACAAACACAGTGACATTTATGATTTATAACTGTACAATGTTTACATAGACCTGTTGACCCTGCATCTATCAATCACACCACATGACATTTGTCTTCAAATGCTTTTGTATAGATTCTAGTTTTATTGTATACTTATTTTATGTACCTCATATTATTTATGTGTTTCTTTCTATCTATCTCTGTCTCTGTATTGCTGCACCAACCGATTTCCCCCGCTGTGGTTGAATACAGATGTATAATATGAATCTTTGGACTAGTCGAATCAAAGCCACACTTCGATCTAGTGTCTCACTCACAGCTGTAATTTGAGCTACAGACAAGTGTGTGTATAGTGATCGGTAGCTCATCGTGAAACTAAATTAAAGGCTGTGCTGTGTCTTTGTTTTGAGCAGACCTACCGTTTTCACAGCCCGCCTGACACAGGGAGCTGTAGCAGGGGACCCTCTCTCTCAGATAATGTTCCCGGACCACACGGACCTTCCTCCCGCGGCAGCTCTTCAGATGCAGGATCCTCTCCGTCTTAATCATCCTCAGATCTCAGGCAGCAGCCATGTGAAGCCTGCTGCTCTCCTTAATCAGCTGCTTTGATCCCAAGGCGGGAAGATTCACTTGTAAACACTCCGAACTTCAGGGAAGTGCGTAAGGCACACCCGCTGACGTCATGACGCAAAGCGGGTTCTTCTCTTGCTGCGTTCAGGTGGTGTTTGACGTGAAGGAGTTATGAACGCCTTTGTATGAAAGTATCATAATAATAATAATAATAATAATGGACAAAAACACTTGAGCTAAATAAATTATTATTTACTTTTATTTTATATTAAAACTTTCTGAAAACCTTGGTTTACTTAAAATTGAAAATAGCTTCCATGTCATGTGACACAGTTAGAGTTCACCAAATCAATGCAGCACCATGAATGTGTAAATTAATTAGTTAGCATTTATACTTGACCATCAGGACACCATTCATATATGAAGTGTTTTTGTTAGCAATAGACTGCTTAATATGGAAGTTATTTTTACATTTTCAACAACAAAAAATCGCAAAATGATGTTAAAGCATATTTTTTCTTACAAACTACTGAACTGTGCTGAGCAGGTGCTATTTTAGTTCCCACTCACTTTCAGCGTGTAACATCAGATATGACCATCAAACCCCAGAAATACGGTGCTTTTTTTTAACACTGAACGTCTGCAAATAGGCTACAAGCTAATAATGCTATCTCTCGTGAAGACAACAAGGACGGAGAAAGGATACTTGAAAAAACATAGCAAATAAACCACACTGACAGTTTACCACTCAAGAGGAGTCAGTTAGCAAACAAACAAGGGATAAAACCCCAGTAAATATTGGACTTCAGTTCAACAGGTGGCCGAAAAGAGATGACAGCCATGCTGCTCTGCTTGATATGTAAGTAATGTTATGCTAGCCATGACACTGAGCTAAATGCAATAGTGGAGAAAGTACTCAGGTATTTTTTACTTTGGGTTAAGTAGTAGTGTAGTAATACTGTGTTACATTCATGTGTAAAATACGTTAGTTCCATCACTTACTAGCTTAAAATACTTATTCACTGTATTTATCTAGTGTTAGTTGTGTTCTTCTCTCTAAAGTTATTGGTTTACACAATTATATAAATACGTATCAAGCATGACATATATATGTTTTGTTTAATTTTGTTTATGATACTTAGAGAAACTAAAAAAATTATTTAGCAATAGCCAAAATCCGCAAGGCCTCAGGGATATTGTTGTTGAGAAGCGAAGCAGCGGTGGGGCGGGGTGAGTCCTCTCGCTGCTCCGCTGCTCTCCGGCCGGCGGTGGAGAGAGGCTGCAGCAGAGCAGCAGAGAGGAGGCACTGAGCTCAAGTTGGCACGCGCTGCACACCGATACGGATGCTGAGGACTACTTAACTCAGGTTTCTACATAGACTTCTTATAGAACATTATTTTTATGATTTAGCTTTTTCACCTCATCTCTCAGAACACGCATTTAATAGCGTATTCATTTTCCATATAGTCTGCCAGAATGAACTTTATTTCGGAAGCATCCTTCCTGCAGGTAAGGCTGTCATTGTTGTCCATGTTTTTAATTACTTATTTTACACACCCATGATCATGTAAAGTTGAATGATAATAACCTGAGACAGAGAAAGTGTATGGTTTCGTCTTAGTGAGTCTATAGACACATCATCGCTTTTATTTAGAACAAAATCGACAACCCTGTATCCCTATATGCGTATTGCTCTGTTGTAGAAAATACTGCTGAACTTGTATTTGCAATACTCTGCACCAGGATACATCATTGTAGTGTAATGTTATATTTTGACATTAAATAACCTACAAATGTTCAATATCCCGTTGCTTATTTGCTAAATGTGGTACTACTAATCAAGAAATGTAAACATTATTGCAGTTTTTACTAAGAAATACCTCACATTCATTTTGCATATTCTTTTAAAGTTTATTTAGCCCAATGTACAATTTTTTTTATGATCACAGTGTTACTTTCTCTCTGTGATGCATCAGTATGTGACTGTCTTTTCTTAAAAAGTTAAGTTTATTTATGAAATAGGATGCTTTTGTGTCTTTCTTGGGTTTTAATTGTCCTCCTGTCCCAGACCTCAGCTTGGTTTTATTCCAGTGATCTAATCGGGACGTACTTTAAATGCAATTATCTTGAATCAAGTAGCTGCTGGGACAGAAGGATTGAGCTACCTGAACTAAAAACCTGCAGTTATTCACTCTGTGATTCGGACTGAAAGCCGATGCTGTGCATTGACACCGTGTTTTTTTTACAGTTAGATGTCTGTGTTGTAGGTCTAGACTTTTGTCTGAGGTTTTGACGTTAATTAGATGGGTCCGGATGATCATTGCTGTTGTAGTATTTCTATTGATTCCCCTGAGGCATCGCAGCACCTATACTTTACACAGGGAGGATCACAGTGGCAGCACTAGATGGCGATCTGGAGCAAGGCACACAAGGCTGAGAAGTGTTGCTGATTGTCAAACATACAAGAAGTGTACAGATGTGTTATGTCATGTCTCTATATTCATTAAGACATCACTATTTGGTAATTTTGTAGATTTGTTTTGATGGAAATATACTCGATTTATTTTCCTATTTTCTGGTGTCGTCTTTGGGAAGTCTCTCGCCAACAAAACCACTGATTCGTAAATATCTAAAATCTGCTGATTCAAGTTGTCCCTAAGGTCCCGGAAGCTGAAATACCTTGATTTAAGAGTGTGCATTAGTAGTGAGACCATTTCCAGTGCAGCTTATAAACCTGGTGTCATGTATATTTATTGGGCATGACGTTTAAGATTTCAGTCATGCCCTTCAATTGGTGCCTTAAAATGATTTCATTCCACATCTTCAGGGGGCTAGCTTACCGAGGCTTATCGGGGTCTGAAATATGACTAGTTAATGAATGGTCTCTAACGTGTTGAATAGTAATTTAATCCCTATGGAGTTATTTTCACCTTGATCTACACTAGGTTTACATGAGCAGCTCTATAATAATCCCTTAAACATGTAAGGGCTGATTGAGCTCTCAATATTGATAGTTGCAGAGTTCCACATTTTGTTTTCTAAATAAATCTAGAAATAAAATGTTACCAGTTCAAAAAATACTGTTCTGATTTTCCAATATAGGTACGGTTTGAATCCTTGGGTGGGTAATCTCTACATAGACTGATATTTTCTTTCAATAGTTTGAATAAGAAGTAAAGCCAAAATACAGACTGAAGTAAACCAATATAATGAAAAAGAGAGAGAAGTGCTTATTAGTTTCTGTGTTGTATTCTCGTCTAAAGCGGCTCTCTGTGCTGCTGTAGTCGGAGCAGGGGCGGACTGGGGGGAAAAAGTGGCCCGGGGATTAATTGACAGACAGGCCCACTTAATGCGCGGCATGTATAAGCCCGGCCGGCGACAAAAGTATGTTACTTAACAAAAAACCCTATGCATTTAATGTTATTTTGGACAATTATTCATATAGTAATCACATTACCTGAGCCCTTGAGTTTCCTAGAGCAAAATAGTTACAGCATATATTTAGTGATTTTAATGTTAACAGATGCAATAACATTTTGACCCAATTTGCCTGACATTACATTTCATTTTAGCTGACGCTTTTATCCAAAGCGACTTACAAATACCAATTACAGGGACATTCTCCCTGGAGTAACTAAGGACTAAGTGCCTTACTCAAGGGCACACTAGTGGTGGTGATCCTGGCGGGATTTGAACTCACAACCTTCCGATCTTCAGCCCACCTCACTATCCATTAGACCACCACTATCCCTGACTTGACACATGGAATAAAACATGGGCGTAGGAAGCATCCTCAATGTGGGTGAGACAATTTAACAGGGGTGTGGGCAGGTGGTGGACCTCACCTCCTCTAGGGGGGTCCGGGGGCAAGTTCCCCCGGGAAGATTTTTTTTTAAATGTTGAAGGGGGGGGTGGACCAACCTGAGTCTCCGGATCAACGATGTTCATGTCTTTGTACTTAAATAAGATTATTAATTTAACCCTTTTAGAAGGGAAGATATGGTCATTTGTTCTGGGAATGTCATTTTCGAGCCTGAAACCTGAAAAACAGGCTCGGGGTTTAAAGCAAGTTGAAGCAGTGCTTGATTCGAAGAAGAGTGATAATTAATATATCTGCATTTTCTTTTATTGTGAGTTTGTTGTTGTTAGGAGGGTAACGGACATCTACCAATCAGAGAGCCAGTTGTTCAATCCCCATCATCAGCTGTCAACATGTTAAGTGTCCTTGAGAAATATACTTTACCCTAAATTGCTGACATAGGCATTTCTAAAGGTGCAATTTGCTTTGGATAGAAGTGTCAGCTGAAATTACATTTAATAATAAAGAAGTTGGTAAATATAGCTCAGTTTTAGTTGAAATCATACTATTTTATAAAAAATGAGCTACTAGACAAATGAATAAGAAATGGTAAAAAAAGTCATACTTGTTCTAGTCATACAGTACTTTTTAGAGATTTAAACTTTTTTTGATTTTGCAATGTTTAAGGTACTTAATGCTCTGATTATGAGCTGTTAAAGAATAAAATAGAGGCGACATTTTCTTTACAACATGAGAACTCTTTTGGAGGAAAATAAGTGTTCAGCCATTCTTTGGGAGGAAAAAAATCTAAAATTAATTAATTATGTTTAGGGCAGCCTTCAGTAGTCTAGCTAATTGCGGCTGCAGCAGCAAGAGTCATTCATTGATAATTTATTCTCAAGCTCTGCAGGCCACAACTTAATAACTGTTCCCTGCACACTCCTGCACTTGTGATTTAGCCGTCTAACGGTAAACATAAGTCTAATCACATCTTAAAGAATAACCCGGCTGTTGAGGGCAGAGTATTGAAGTGTGTCGCCAGCAGGAAAAGGTTCCTCAAGAGCAGCTGCCCTCCCGTGCACACAAACCAAACAAACACAAAGCACTTAATACCTGAAGTGGGACAGAATACAGCTGGAATATTGCAGCCAGCACTTTTATCTTCCTCTAGGTCTTTTTGTCGGAGCATGCAAAATTCAATGATGTTCGTGCAGAAGTACTCTTTGTCAGTCTAGCAACACATTAAAATAGACTTTCCATCTCCTTTCCTATCATTCCGAAATGCTATTCATATTCATGCAGATTTTCAAAA